GCTTTCCAAATGTTCCTAACTTTAAAATAAAAATATTTAGTTGCCGGCTATTACAATTCTTTAGATAAATAGCATTCATCATTTATAAGCGTTTCAGATATATTATTTAATTTTTTTTTAAATATTTTACTGTAGGATACGGATGTCAAACTCATAAGTACACTTGGGCCAAACAAACAAGGTTTAACTTTGGTTTACAAGGTTAACAAGGTTAACAAGGTTTAACAAGGTTAAACAAGGTTCAACTCAAATATGAAGCAAAATTCATTGAAGAGGGCGTGCCTGAATTTTACAAATATTTACCAGCCAGGTTTGAAAATACTCGAAAATTCTCATATGAAATTATTTCCATGTTTGGTAGCACTTATGGGTGCAGTTATTTTCAGTCATGAAAGGTAATAAGTCTCCTATTAGAAACCGTATTAATGATTCTCACCTTGGGTCAGCGTTGAAAGTTATCACTGCAAACAAAATTTCTCCCGAAATAGGAAAGATAATAGCAGAGAAGAGATGTCAAGTAGCAGGAAGTAAACATTAAATTTTTCTTGTTCTTTTCTATATAAATATATATATATATATGTTTATTATTGTATTATTCGAAATAAATCTACGTTTCTATGAATATTGATTTTTTTTTTTCCGGCCCGCCTAAAGTTAAACCTTGTTTGTTTGTCCCAAGTGTACCTATGAGTTTGACATCCGTATCCTACAGTAAAATATTAAAAAAAAATTAAATAAGATATCTGAAACGCTTATAAATGATGAATGCTATTTATCTAAAGAATTGTTATAGCCGGTAACTAAATATTTTTATTTTAAAGTTAGGAACATTTGGAAAGCAAATATTTGAAATATTTTTGCTTTGGATGACGCAATCTATATGCCAACAAAAGTCATTTTTCATTAAAACAAACTAGATGAAATAATTATGTAATGAATTCAGACGCTTAATATCATTTAAGCTACACTTTAGAAATGATAAGACTACTTTATATTCAATGCTAATTACACATTTTATTCGTAAATAAAATGTGACTATATTTTTTTTTAAAACTGACTATATTTGTATAATAATGCTGTCCCTATGAGCACTATTTAAAGGACTCTTAGAATACTTGTAAAGAACTAATATTCGGTTAATAATACATAAATTCTTCGAAAGCGTAATTATGGAATGTTTTATTCCTAGTCTTTTACATTTTTTGAATGCAAATTAAGTACAGAGCAGGAGACTATTTATTTTCGTAGCAGAATATATATAGCTATTGATAGCAACCTGGCTATACGTCTCCTAAATTATTTTCCCTTTTAATTTAATTCTGCAAGATATAATAGATTCCTAATTCTGCTTACGGAACTTTCTTTGCCCCAATATCTGAAAAAGTTAATAAAGAAAATTTAATGTGAAATATATCGCAACATTTAATGGAAAATATGGAGTTTCAGTTTACTTCAAACTGTTAAGAAGGACAAAGAGAAGGAATAGTTTCGTATCAAAATATTTTATGAAAACATCACATTAACATATTTTAAATTGAATACTTGTCAACATTCCATGCATTTAATTTATTCACTTAGCTTTAGAACAGGATCGTCATTTGCGAAGAGTCTGTATTCATCTGAATGCCTATACAAAGTAGCAAAATAATACACTCATACTTTACCACGTCTTCGTGAGTATTAAATAATGAATTGAAACATTATAAATGTACAAAATATATTGATTTTTATATTATTAATTTACAAATAATATTCAATGAATTTGTAGAGACATTAGGAATTTTTGGAAGCAGACAAGATGAAAAATAAGGAACCGCTTTCGCCGAGAATCGAACCACGGTCCTGTGGAATACGCGCCCAGTGTGCAGACCACCACACCACGAAGGCATGCCAAGAAGGAAATACCTTATATACTCCACCCTTTTAAAGGACGACTGGGGTTTTAGGGGACCCAATCGCCAGATCCTAGATGTGGAGAATCATGATCCAACACTCTTTTAGTTCGGGCGCTACTGTAGAGACATTAGGAATTTTTGGAAGCAGGCAAGATGAAAAATGAGGAACCGCCTTCGCCGAGAATCGAACCACGGTCCTGTGGAATACGCATCTAGTGTGCAGACCACCACACCACGAAGGCATGTCAAGAAGGCGGAAGAAATACCTTATATACTCCCCCCTTTTAAAGGACGACTGGGGTTTTATGGGAACCCAATCGCCAAATCTTAGATGTGGAGAATCATCACCCAACACTCTTTTAGTTCGGGCGCCACTGTAGAGACATTAGGAATTTTTGGAAGTAGGCAAGATGAAAAATGAACATCCGCCTTCACCGGGAATCGAATCCCGGGCCTCTGGCTTACGCGTCCAGTGCGCAGACCCCACACCACGAAGGTATGCCAAGAAGGCGGAAGAAGTACCTTATAAATTTATGTGACTTAACTGCAGCAAGATTTCATGCGTAGGTAGCTGAAAGTTTTGAGCCAGGGCAGATAACACGCGCTAAAAGAAAATTATTTGTTAGATGCATAAATTTAAACCCTTTTATGTCCGCAGATAATTCGCAGCAACAATTGAAATTTATCTATCATAGAATAAATTTAAAAAAAAAAAATACGTTACTGAAGCGAGAACATTATCAAGCTTTATTTTCTATGATTTAAAAATGGTATTAAATGAAGAAGTATGCCTTCAGCTTCTACATTTAGTATATGGAAATGAAGCTTCATCACGGGGCTACTGTATTAGGTTGGTTTACAGTATTTCATACAGGTAGAAATTCTAGCCTGGGTGAAGAAAAAAAGGAGGATATTTGTCAGCTGTAGTGCTAGAAAATGTTTCGGCCATATGAAAATGTTAATCAATGATAATTGCTGTAACTACCAAATGATACAGAAGGCATTTAACATTGGCTCCCCAACTAGACATAAAATTAGTCATAAAGACCTGTACAGGAAAAAATTAGTTTGTCTTTAGATTCCCCATAAATTAAAGAAGATGGACACGACCCTATTTTTAAAATTATAACTAGTGATGAAACGAACAATTTTCGATGTTCCAACATACGAAGAAAATAGTGTGGGTCTTTGAAGGTGACCCCAAATAAACAATCGTGAAAAGACAAAGAGCAGTGGAAAAAGCAATAAATTCCGTTTTCTTCAGAAGTAGAGGACTGGGTAAAGTAGCAGCTCCTCTTTTTACTACTAAGTGTCTTCTACAAATTTTCAAGACCTAAGATGATGTAGTTTTGTTTAAATTTAAGATTGGTTTTATTTTTTATTAAATCTCATTTCTTTGATGAGATTAAATCTCATTTCTTTGATGAGATTAAATCTCATTTCTTTGATGAGATTAAATCTCATTTCTTTGTGTTGAAAATAAAGATATTTAATTAAAACAAGTTCCTCTTTAAGTAACTGGTTTATTTTGACTAGCTATTATGCAAGAAAAAACATTCTTGCTAATTAGAACATTCAAAATACTGCTCAACTTTGTATGGACATGCAAATAATGACTGGTTCGTTAATTACAGACATGAAAATAAAGCATAAACTTCAGAAGCTACTATTAAAAATTTATATTCTTCTGTTACAGATTTTACACAAAATAAAAATGCCCACATTATGAAAACGAATGCTGTTAAGGATTTAAATTAATATTTTATGTCCTTTATTTGCAGAAAAATTGTTAAAATTTTTGTATTGTAAAATTTCAATACAGAAGTTCTATATCAGTGTTTCATCGGATAATAACTTAGCTTATGTTTATGACAACACATCCATGCAGTCAGCCCACCCGCTAGAATTTGAAATTGAATCAAACTACCAGTACTCAACGAAATGAACTAGATGGCCATTGCAGGAGATAGTTGAAAAGTATATAGGATAAAGTAATAGTATATATAAGTAAAGAAACTGCCATTATTTCTCATACGATGGATATGTATTTAAACTGCAATAAGGCAAAATTTTATTACATTTGCCATTCTAAAAATGAAAATAATTCATAACAGATGTTACAGTTGAATATTCGTATAAAAAATTGATTTCCAAAATACTCATGCTTCCTCATAAATAAATTAACGCTTAAATAACTTTAAATCTTGTAGTACAGCCCCTGACATACGAGACTACTCTTAAAATTAACATGAATATACAAATAAAGTATTTATTACAGGACAAATATATTTAAGTAAAATATTTATTTAACTGTTAGTCATGAATAAGACAGAATAAAAACAATTAAATTTCTCAAAAAATATCGATTTCATTTCACGTACAATATTTTCGAGTGTGATACAATATTTTTGCTTCATTGAAGACAATTAGACCATAAATAATTACTTTCAAAATTTCGGTATTTTTTTCTTTGACTGATGAAGTTAATGGAAGTGAACATCAGTATATGTGCTTGTGTATGTCAAACTATATTTAAATATATAATACCTCACTTCTTTTATAGCACGCCTTAAGTGAAGTAACTGTGCTCATTACTTTTACAGATTAAAATTTTCCTTAAAAAGGAGTTATCAAAAGTCTTAAAAGAAAGCAACCTGCTTATTGGTTAAATATTACTAAGACCCCCTCTATACACTTCACCACAATTAAATCCTAAGCGTGCGTCAGTAGTAATAAAAGTGACGGACGGAAAGGTCAGATTTTGGAAGAAGTGATGATAGTGTTTTAAAAGTGCTTTATAATCGAATTTCATTAGATAAAATCTAGCAGCAAACTCGAAGAGAGAAAAAAAGGTTACGGTAAATACATCGCGATAGGTTTTTATACCAGATTTTTATCGTCAGATAAATATCGCTACCTAATATAGAAAAGTCGATTCTACTTGAATAAAATATTCACCCAATTCATCTTTCTGACTTTATGCCTTTTTTAAGTTTGTAAGAGAAGTGTGATTCTTCAAGATATTTCTCGTTTTGATAATGCTGGATATGTAAAAAGACAATATTCAACTGTCATTCAGGTTTAAGAGATACGAATTCTTCTTACATCCATGATGTCATCCTCGTCTACCGGACTGTTGTGATGCAACGGATGATGATTGTGATGATGATGATGATGCTGTAGTTGTTGGTGACTGGGCACCTTGCATGGGCTAGGTGGGAAGTTTTGCGAAGAATCCGCAGGAGATGAAAGTGTCCTTCGAACTGGCTCTCGGGAATAGCGATACCCCCTAAAGGAGGACTGGGTGCGAAAAGACAGCTGAGAACGCACGGACGTTGAACTTGGGCGTCGCGAACCTAAAGAACAAAAACGACACTGATAGTTATATTAAAATTGGGCTTGAATTTAATTATTATTTTGTAGTTATCAGTATCTTTGAGAAACAGGAAGAATTTCAATGGTTATTTGATTCCATATCGTAATTTAATCAACTCCTAAACACTGAAGTCAGAATAGTGTTCTATTTCCATCATAGCAAAGTCTCAAACATCAGTAACATAAATCACATGCAAATTGATTTTTTTATTGAATTACTAATTAACATTAATTAATATTAATCTAATTTTATTTTATTTGATAAATTTATTCGATACTTACCAAACTAGAAAATGATTGTAGCACAAAAACATGTATTATGGGTTTAAATAGCAGTGCGTTAAATTAGAAGTTTTTAATACCTCATTACCGAGGTAAATTTAATTATTAAATTAATACTCTTCTACTTCATTATGTAGCAGTTTACATATATGCATCATAATAAAAAAGTTAATCTGAGTATTCTTGACTTTTATTCAAAATATGTGTAATGTAGATTAAATTTTTCAGACGAAAATTTTACTTAATATGTAGGAAAATGAAGTATTCAGAAATAATTGATCAATTAACAAAGAAATAAGAATGTTGAATTGTTGAATTAAAAGAAAAAAAAAAGAAATCAACAGTGAGATTTCTATGGTTCACATTTAAGTATTTTATATAAGAAAGAAACTAGACGTTAAGTTTACCTAAACTAGAAGGAGGAGCAAGCATGCTATAACTTGCCCTCCTTGAGACAGGAAGGTAATCCGTGCTGCCTCCGCTACTTCTGGATGGCCGCCTGGAGTCCAGGACATGGCTACCAGTGAACGCAGACATCATAGTGGGAGGGGAGCCAGCACTCGCCATGCGATCTGCCGGACGGTTGAACCGAGCCCTGTAAGTTATAATGAACGTTGTTAAGATAAAAAGGAAAAATAGGGAAAATGCAGAAGTTTTGGTAAATTGCATGGAAACAAAATTTTATATAACCAGGATAAGCGAAACGACAAGTGTGTGCAAATGTTCTATGTATTCTGTTGGTGCAAATTTTCATCACATAGATCATTCCTCATCTTCTGTTATAGATGGCGCTGAATCATTGGAATCTTTTACAAATGAAGTATAAGGAATAGAGCAAATAAAGGCAATGAGGTTATCAGAATATCTCATACATGTAACCGTTTAAAACGGCAAACCATAAATCGGCTTGCCATAGGTTTTCTTAGCATCTATCACGTGTAGGGGAAAACTCAGTCACTATTAAATTTAGAAATTCAGGGATGAAATCAGATAATGTACAAATCAGTAACGCTCTAGATATATATGAGAGGCTTCTGAAAAAGTTATGGATATACTCCTAGGATAATTGCGAAGTTATGTCATTGAGCTCCTCATCGTGTCCTGCGAAACAACAAGGAAATCGGTCTCTGTACTTTTCGCTTTTTTGCAGCTGTAAATTATTTTTGGACTACAGTGGGAGATGAGAAATGGATATTGCATCATAATGTTGATCATTGAAGGAGTAAATGCTTAATTTCAGTACTGCGTCATCAATTTCAGCTGAAGGACTCCACCTCCAATACATTTTAAGTGTATAGGAAGTGTCAAGATAACAATTTACAGGGATATAACAAAGCTATAAATGCTGATTTCAAACGCCAGCAGTTGAGAGTAAGAGAATAACTGATATCTAAACGGCAATCACTCGGAAGCCGCAAAGATCAGCTTAATAACCCCAATCCATATGCAGTTTAGAACTCAGAAAATAACTACAGGAGTTCGGAAGGAAAGCATTAGCTTATTAAGAGCATTTCCCTGACAGTGTCTTTGCAATTTACCGACTCATTCGATCATTGCAGAACATCTTCCCTTCCAAAATTTTCGAACCTGAAACGAGATGTGAAAATAGCATCAGATCTCTTTATCGCTAAAATAGAGCAACTTATTGGCATGGAATAAATCTAGTACCAGATAGATGGCTAGAGGCGACAGATAACGACAACAATTACATGAAATCTTAGATACTTTACTTTTTTATGATTTTACGCTTTGTCGTATAGAAAGAGGTTAGAATTTCTGCACACACCTAACTGTTGGTCTAGGAAATGAAGTACATTTAAAGATGTAACAGTTTGCAAGTCCTCTATGCTCACGTTATGCGTCTATATTCGGTTTTTATTAAAATACTTTAATCTGGATATTCTTAATTTTAATTCAGAATGCTCGGTTTTATCCATTTGAGTGATTTATTCCTAGATTTAAACATTTATTCAAAGAATTTAATATAATACATTGTAATAAACTTAAAATACATTAATGAAACTAAACGTTAAGTTCATAAATTTCTCCGTTATTGCGCACAATTCATATCATTTCCTTATGAAATTAATCCGTTATTAAAGTACTAGAGCATAAATCATGAATTAATTTTTATTATTTACTTTTTAACAAGCAGAGCAATGAATTACCAGAAATTAAAATCATGCTTCATTAAAAATCGTAAAAACAACCTTACGATTTTTATTGTCACATTAGCGTGTTTCTCTTCTAGTCATGCTTCATTACTTTTGAGGAGAAATGACTGATCATTGTTTAAAACACAAACAAACATTTATTTCAAAATATTTTTAATCCCATATTAATGATATTATAAAAATAAACACAATAAATCAAATTTCAAAAAACTTCAGTGAGATAAATATTGAAAATTTACTCGAAAGGGACATTATAACTATATCTTACTTGCTAAATAACCTGAGCACAAGGCACAGCAGGGCAGTAAAGATAACCATGCCTGCCACTGCACTCACCGTGGTCATCAAATAATTGTTTTCTAGGAAGGTCACCGTCCCAGCTGCAAAATTCAATCAGTAGGGCAGTTACGTATCTGGTTCCAACGATACACAATTTAAAACATCGTTTTATAACTATTAGCAAAAGTAAACATTTTAAACATGATTTGTGAAAAAACATACATGCACATACGCTAACTGAGAAAAAAATCCAGGAGTCCATCTTCCTAATATGAAATGGAAATAAGGACTTCAAATATATAACAAACAACCTTACAGTACAACTACGAAAAAATGATGCGCAGTGTCTAGTCGTCGAAGCAGCCGTAATAATGTGCTGCGGAACTAGACGACAGGGGTTGTGATGCTGCATTGCAAAATCATCCATGCAAATACCGAAAAGACACGTTCCACTGTAACGTATATGACAATGCAACTCTGTAATATGAAACTTTTCTTAGACTTCCTACTTCATCGAATTCCTCCTCCGAAGACACTTGAAAGAGGAGGTCTTCAGAAGATAATTTCCAAGCTACAGATGAGCACGTGAATATGGCCTGGAATAACGTTACAGCAAAGTTCAGAAAACGTTAAGAAATATGCTGATTTAGCGTTAGGCTTAAATAAAGGGAAGGCAAATAATTGGACAGTATCATGTTTCAAGCAAAGAAATATGATTCGATCGCATTATATTGTAGAGACATTAGGTATTGTTTGGAAGCAGGCAAGATGAAAAAAGAGCAATTGCCTACGCCGGGAATCGAACCACGGACCTCTGGAATACCGGCTCAGTGTGCTGACCATTACACCACGATGGCACGCTAGGAAGGCGGGAGAAATAATTTATAATATAATAATATGTTGCACGGATTAATCACTTTAATAGATGATAATAAGCAACTCTCATTGACAAATATCATAGTGCAACTGAGTCTGTTTGTGCAATGAAAACAGACACATTGTCGGTGGTTTTACTATTATTTCCATTTCATATATTAAAGAAGTGTTTCGGCAAAAATGTAACAAACTCAAAAATATTTCTCCAGAAGTGTAAAAGCTTTCATGAATAAACAACAGAAATTTGATATGAAAGGCCTTTTTCTTTAAATACACTTACTTCCACTGTTATTTGCTGCTTCATACTAACATATGTCATTCCTAAACACAAAAACAAAAACCAAATTAAGTAATCTGTGTACTTTTTACAGCAAAACCTGCTCTGAAATCATTCTATTAACGTTAATTGTTTTTGATAATTCTTTTGAACCTTATGTGCAATAAAACCTTAGTGTACTCATTTAGTCTATTATTTTCAGTGTACTAATTTAAGTCTATTATTTTCTTACTAAGTCTTAATTATTTTCACTTTCAGTTAACTCTAGAGCATCTAAATTTAGAACGTTAGTTAATTCTGTTGCAGCACTTCAAAGGAATACTAAAAATGGTATGTTATTCGAATTAACAAGTTCAACAAATTTGATTCAAAAACAAAGTTAGATATATTTTGAAAATTTTAACCGCAATTTCCTACTTTAGGAGCTAAGAAATGTTTGAGTTATAGAATCTATCAGGAAAGAAATACAAAGCACATAAAAATGTCTAGGAAATGCTCCTCTATGATTCTCGCATGAAGAAAGAAGGCGAAAGAACATCATGGAATACCATCTTTGGAAGATTTAAGAAAGAGGGAAAGAATTATTAAGCCAGCTATTTTAAGGTGCGATAAATAAGGATAATGATTAAATATCGTCAGTCAAAATGGTAAAATGTGTACGAATGCGTACAGTTTATAGGAAATCTAGAATCTGCGGTCCACACTCGCTTCCTAACTGCCAAAGACGGAAATAAGATTACAATTTTAAAAGTCGTTCAAATTTCCGCTTTTGGGTCAAACTTTGATGACAATATTATTCATTCCTTATCTGATTTATTTTAGTGTTATGGTATTGTTGGAATAAAAAATATATACTTCCGTAAATTTCGTTAAGCTTGTTTTTGAATGCAGTAATATTTCCCATTTTGTTAATGTTTATGTTGCTATTGTTTTATTATTCAAATCAGAAATATTTCTTAAAATATGTAATTAGCATTAATTTAAACTTACATTTATTGTTTATTTTTAATATCAAGGTAGGTTGAATCTGGTATGGTTATATTAAATCATTATGAGGCTACGAGGAACAGATATATAGTAGTTTAAGAAATCTTACCCAAATGCATCATCTTAAAACTGATGCGAAAAGAAAAATGCTTAGGTTTGAAAGACAAGATGACAAGAGCTGTGTTTTCACAAATATCATAGAATATTTAATTATTCCATTTATTAATGATAAATCAACTTTAGAGATGTTTCTGTGCTAAAGAATGCAGCAAAAGTTGAGAAAGTCTTCAGTGACTTCAGTGACTAAAAGATAGAGACAAGATTTTAAAGAAATACATTTCAGTCATGCATGAGGATTATGGAGGATATTAATTATAATTCACGATATTAAAATTAATTGCATAAAAAGATTAAATTGAAACGTCAAAAACAATGATGTACCTAAGGCAAATATACCTTACGCTTCATGGATTAAAATTCGAAATTTTATCTCAAATTATAAATTCAAATTGACTAGATGAAAATTTTGGCATAACGAACGAAATATACTTTCTCTTCAAAGCACCCATCCGTCTTAATCTGATTTTATAAATTAAAGCTACTTGAGAAAAATCACTTACTCAAAAGTTAACTAACATGGAAAAAAATTTGTCTACAGACATCCGGAGACTTTTCTATTGATAAGACTCTGATTACTGGCAATTGTTATTAGCAATCAGAAAATGTTCTTGGTTATCAGAAACGTGGTTATTTTGATTTTTATTAGAGATAAAGACTTTTGATAAACTGCGAATTTATATGAAATAGAACAGACGCTGTACAAGTGTTTCTGGAGTATCATTCAGGAAACGGTAAGTGTTTTCATTGAAATAACTTTATATAGTCCTCAAATTCCGATATTCATAAACTGTTCCTATGATGTACTTCGAATAGATTGTATAATAATTATTTCAGTTCTTATATTTTTGACATTCAAATCCTTTAGACCAGAGGTTCTCAACCTTTTGCAAACAAAAAATATTAAATTAAAAATTGGTTAACATTTTAATTATCAAAATTTAAGTTACAATACTTTAATTCTAAAATATAGTGTGAAATTTGGGCCTGTTTAAGAAAGATCAGTTTCTTAATATCCGGTCTTATTTCACTTAACTTTAACCGTAAATTAGGATCCAATTTAAATTTTGTTCTGTATTTGTTTTTCAAATAAAACGTGGAAGAAAATACTTGTTAACGCAAATAGGTTGTTCAAAAAGGTAATAAAAATGTAATAACTTTATTTGAAACGCCTTTAAATTTTTTTTTTGGGCTCAGCCAAAAGTTAATAAGTGAGTTATTTTTGAAATCTTCAGCTAGAGTTCGATCAAAGGAAATTTCTATCAACTGTTCTTTTTCTTCACAGGGTTTTTGAATTTAATAATTGAAAATACTTCGTTTTTTTTGCGTACCACCTATTTTTCTCTTGCGGACCACCGGTTTAGAATCGCTGCTTTGGACTATAATTTTGATATCACTGAAAGCTACCCTGCCAGGTAATGAACAAAAACGTCTTACGAATATTTTCTAGTAACAAACAGCAGTCCTAACAAAGAAGACTGAGCATTTTGATGTGGTTCAATTTATGATAGAGTAATACAAAACATCAGACCTCCAAGCCTTTAATAAGGAGTTTTAAAAGAATAAATAAGGATATTCAAACCTCCACAATAATTTTCATGAGAAGTTACAAAGGCAAAGCTGAAGTTTTTATTTTCCGAAAAGGTGCTGAATAGACTGAATTTCGTAGAGACAAGAGAGCGAGAAAGAAAGAGATTTATAAGCTGGATATTTGATCCTTACGTTTACATTATTATTTAACAAGACTCTCTGCGACTGAAGTATATCAAATTTTCTTGTTCTTTTTGTCCAAAAGTGGAAACTACTTAAGTTTTCCATCTTACATTTCTACCAGAATAAATGTTTTTACAATATTACAATAAAGTTATGTTTATTTTACAATTACTATTTTTTTTTTCTAAAACGATTCTTAGTGTCCCGAACAGAGGTATAGTATAAACATAATTTCACTTTTGTATAAAGAAAAAAAAAAAGAGAATTGCGAATTTTCATAATACTATTATACACTGGAGTTGTCCAGTAGTTATTTTTAACAATAATTTTAATAATTAATTTTTAATAGTAATTTTAATTTATTAATATTTTTGACAGTAATTTTAGCCGTCGGAGAATTAAGAGCTGTAACCTCAAAATTGTCTAAGTTATAGGCAGGGGCGTAGCGTAAGGGGGAAAGGGAGCGTCCCGGACAACACTATACTAAGGGCAGCAAAATCCCTATCGTTGAATTAGTATTAATAATGTTATGGGAGATCCAACTCAGCAAAAACAGTGAAGTTAAAACTTTCGCAGCAATACTTTGCGCACTAGCATCATTTTAAGTAAATTTAAAGCTGATGGTCTTAATATAAGGGACTGTAGAGATGAAGTGCATGATAATGCTGCAGTCCTGTCTGGAGAGCATGCAGGAGGGCAACAAAAGCTCAAAGACACAAAGCCCAATACAGAATTTGTACCTTACTTAAACGATTAGTTAAACCTGGATTGTTTACCTTTTCTATGTCCATACACTGTTGGGACATTCTACCTGTTGTTACACGGAAAACATTAAAATGGATTCAGGATACACATTGGAGTGCAATAGCTGAAGCAGTAGATAGAACATTTAACCATTTAATAATTTGGGTGAAAACCTTAATATTTTAATTGAACTTTCCAGACTAATAACAAAGGAGCAAGTTTTGGGCAAATGAAGTAAAACGCATGCTTGTCCTACTAAAAGCAGTTGAGAAGAAAGTTGTTAGAAACAACTCATTACGGAATTTGGTGAACAAATTTGCTTTTCTTGGTCCAGCCAAACTACTGGACATTGACGACTACGACTACAATTTAGAGCACGTATCTCATGAGATGTCAGGCAACAGTTCAAACCAGAGCGTGTGTTGCCAAGGGCTTTGATTGCTGTCACTGGAAAAAGTACTGTTACGAAATGTCTAGCCGCGATAAGATGGGTCAAGCGATAAAATAGCCTTCCCTACAAGGCGGTTTTAAGGTTGCCATAAAATGGCAAGAAAAGGCAGAGCTGCGCCAGATTTGGAGAGAAATCGCCCAGTTGGCGACAAAATTGGCGATATGCCACAGACGGATAGAAAACTTTCTAGAACGAATTATTACCAGTTTGGATCAGAATGTCCTCGAAGGCAGCCTAAAAGTTATATTAACCTTGCCTGCACGCTGAGTAGCAGTCAGTCGGTCAGTGCCTCGTCTAGCGAGTCTATCGTGTGTCTCGTAGTCTATCGAGGTGATCGTCAGTCTAGTGTCGAGGCGTCTCGTCGTGTATCGCGAGAGTGTGCATCGTTGATGCTATCGAGTATATCGTAATGCATCGTTGAGTGTGTTGAGCTCCGAGAACGAACGACCGAGTTGGGAGCTGTACTCTAGTGATTTGTCATGAAGCTGTCTTCACCATTATAGCCTGATAGCCTGAAGACTGTGTTGCTGATTGTTTCAGCGTGTTTGTCATAGTTTTTCGACGACTGTAAACATGTATTTGGAACTGTCCTGAGTGATACTGGCTAAATAAATTGTGTTTTGGTACTTCAAGTGTCGTCGTTAATCACTCCAAATCCACGAACTCATGCAAAACGCAACAGTATAAATGAATTAATTAATACAAGCCCATACGACTTATCAAACTTTATTAAACAATTTAAACTGGAAGTTACACTGTCTGATAGAATAATATACTTTCAAATATTCCTTACAAGTATCACGTACAATGCCATCTGTGAAAGAAGTTTCTCGAAATTATAAAAAACTATTTACGAAATTAGGAAAAATTATTAACCAAAAATTATTTACGATAGACAATGAGTACGCTAAGACTGACAAATCTAGATAATTTGGCAACTGAGAAAGAAATGACTGGTGCAATCGATACTGATAGTGCTATTAAAGATTTTGCCATGAGAAAATGCAGGAAAATAAAAGTTTGAAATTAAGAAAGAAAAAGTTCTATTTTTATTTCTGAGTATAAAATAATTATAAATTATTTATTAAGTATTGATTTTCAATAAAAGGATTAATAAATTATTACCTATTTTTATTTATATTAATACATGTATATACTTTTATTTTAAAATTGATTCAAAAAAATAATTTTCTTCCTTAAAAAATGCAATATCATATTGTTTTTGAATAATATTTATTATAATTTTTTTGAAGTAGTAATACTGCTTTTAGATAACAGTTTATTAATAGAATTCAAAACATGTTTTGTCTTTCTAGTTTATAAAAATTTTAATTTTAGGAAAAAAATCTCTTTGCAGCTTAACATTTTATACGCTGTAGACAATTTTATCTTTCTAATAATATCATACTTTGTAGGCGGGGAGAGACGACAAATTTGTTATCTGTCCTGGGTGGCAGAAAGCTACGCTGCACTATTTGGAAATTTGATTTTCGCTCCTGCCTGAAACATGAGTAGTCATTCGGAAATGACTTTATCGCATCTGTATTGCAGTTCATAATTTGAATCAGGAAAAACTATTGCCCTCCTCATTTTAATCCTCCAAATAACTATTTTAAATTCAGAAATGGCTGTCTTAACGCATACGCCTGCTGGGCAGTTGCCTGAGGGACCCATGAATATAGGGGCCCATACTAATCCGTTTAAATTTTATTTACATTTCATTCACGTGAATGGTTGCTGTAGGAGCTTCATCCCATCGGTTTGCCATAATGCTGTAAAGATGGCACTGTAACATACTAACATAAATCCTGTAAATTCGATTTTACTAAACAATTAATTATTCCAGAATTTCGTAGAATACAAAATACGTACTTTACGCAGCTACTTTTAGCACCCATATATAGCACGTTTTCATGACATGAGCAATAGCTTTAGTAAAGAAAATAATTTTAACTTTGAATAATTTGGATGTAATTCTGATATGAGTATTCTCATGAGCGTTTCTTTCACGGAACTACAAAGTTAAGAACTAAAAGAACTAAAAACAACTATTTATCAAATGCAATAAAACTGCTAAATTTTGAAAACGTAATTATTCACCAGCCAGTAATTTTATGTGAATAAAATTGTCGTCTTATAAAGTAGTTGTATAAATTATTTACACTACACATCTAGTTCTATAATGTAAAATGCAATAAAACTTTCCTGTCAAGCTGGCGTGTTTTAACAAAGTCACATTTAAAATAAAATAAAATGAATGAGCTTTATATGATTGAAACCACCTCAAAAAAATTAAATTTCCAAACCATATGCTCCTAGCGATACTCTTTTTTTTCCGAATTTTATCAATGATAAAGTGTAGTAATAAAAATCGATGATTTTTGAAAGAATTTAATGAAAAAATATGAGATGGTTAACGGAGTAAAAAAGTTACAGATTGATCCACTATCCCCATCAAGCAGATTGCCAATAACTTTAAAATTGTTCAAAACACCGAAACATAAACCATGAAAATATTAAGAATATCTAGAATTCGGGCTTTTCTTTTGATACCTAAATCTTCCTGTGAAATAAAACTAAATTAGAATATTTCAGGAAATTGCCATTAAAATATTCAAAAAATCCCAACTCCGGGATTCTGTTTCTAAAATAAAGCCTACCTTAATGTTAATGCATCTAAAATACTTCAGAAAAATATAAGCATAGTTAAGTTGCATTTTTATTTCACATTCCTTCCTAGTTTTAGTAATATTTAAATTATTTACTTAATAAAATGAGAAAAACTAAACGTTTCTTACATAATATCTTACCCGGCAGACAAAGGGATGCCCCTTTCTGATGCTGCGCAGGTGCGAAGCCATCAGCGCACGTACAAGTTCCGCTCGGACATACAGCATTTTCGTCATAGAAGGCACACGCGTCATCGTACTCACAGCTATCGCCTAATCTGGCAGCTGAAAATATGATAGAAAAGGAATAAAATCATCAAAGCTATCAAAAAAAGCATTCAGCGTTTTATATTCTAGACGTTTTAACAATTTTGAAGGAAAATAAAGAAATGAATTCATTAATTAACTAAGCATTCTTAAGGAAATAATTTACGTATTTTGAAGAAATAAATAACCCCAAAATTCTTTTCTTCTCCAAGCTTAACGAAATAATGTTCAAAACTTTTGTCTATTGTTAATATTCAAATTAATTTTTTATACAGTTTCATAAGGAACACATATATCCCTTCTGTCTTACAACACATGGCACAAAATTCCCCATTTATTACTAGACGCTTCCAAACTTTCATTGGATTGCAAGTAACTGGAAGTTATGGAAGTTACTGAGAGATGATGATTTTGTTTTTACAGGGCTTATAAAATTTAATAAGGTAGTCTATGATATTTACTTTGAATTTTACTAACAGATTTGTGTTAAATATTGTTCTGCCCTCTTTCTGATTCAATACAAATATTCACTCACGTTGGAAAGTTATGCAAATGTAAAGCACACACAAGAAGTATAAATACTGAGCGCCGCCTGAGATAACCACTAACCTGACTTTGTTGTAAAAGTCTTACAGTGTTTTACAGTCAGCCTGGCAGAAGGGAATATTTCTTCCGTGTAAATATATAAATATAAATATTACATAGGCATACAAGGCTTGTTTATAAGCATAGATATGTTAAATACAAACATTGTCTTGTACAATTTACATATGATAGTTACATAAAATCATGACAGTTATGTGTACATTTAAACATTATCTGAATTCATATTTGCAATACTTTTACTGAGATAATCAAAGTAAACTTGTAATTCATTTACACACTGACTGGATTTTCAATGTCATTTTAAACTGCTTTACAATATTATTTTTATCAAGTACATACAAACTGGATAGTAGTATGCTTAAATTAGAATAGTTTTGCTCTTACTGTCCTGTTACTATTATACGGGGTGAGGTATTTTTCTAGTGTTAATTTTCAGTTGTTGTAGTATTTTGAATTGCTATTTAAATTATGCTGCGAAGATACAATTCTCAAGGGAGGGGGAGAATTTCTTAGTACCTTGCTGATTGCACCTGCTCCATTTTAGTTTTCGTTTGCTTGTCGCTGCAGATATTCTCCGCCCAAGTATAAATACTAGGAATTGTTAACTGTTATTCATGCTTTGTTGCGTAAAGAGTTTCCTTGCTGTTAGCGATTCTTCTCGTCGATCGATCTATTTGCACTTGGAAGATAAGCAGTATTGGGCCGAGGCTGCGTTAAGTCCCGTTGCTATCCCAGGTGGTACATGAACTTCGAATCATTTATAAAAGGGCAAGGTCACTTGATTGCTATAATTTATTGAAAAAGCAATCAACATTTTTATTTTTAATTCTCTGTTAAATTCTAATCTGATTAATTTTGACCCGTGTTTGTGTTAGCTGATAGCAGTCAGGATGATTACTCCCTGAATTTAGAAAGTAACTTCTACACCATTAGATCACATCGCTTTAAGAAATATTAACCTTAGTGTTTCAACTTACTTATGAATTTAAAATTTATATGTGTCGAGTGAGAACATATCAACATCTATACTATAGATACAATAAAAAGGAAATGAATAGTGTGCGTGTGTAAAATGTTTATAAGAAAAGAGAACCAAACAAAAAGGAAAAAAAAAAAAGAAACTGCTGCAGAAGTAAACCGCATCATAATCGGTATTACTTTGAAGAGAGTGATATACCTGAAGTACAATTAACTCGTATAATAGGTACACCCTGCCAAAAAAAATAAATAAAAGACAGTTCTTCTGTTCTACTGGGCTACGATATTTAACTTGCTTTTTTCATGTCTGGAAAGTGCAACGTAGGATATATTATATATATATATATATGCATAAATAGAATTGTTATAATGTAGGTATTTTGACGTAAACGATTTTTACGATTTCTATTGGACTACGAAATGTAACTTGCGTTTTTTATGTCTCAAAGCGCGACGTAGGATATGTTATATATATATATATATATATATTGCATTGTTCTAATATAGGTACAAATATTTTGATATAAAATCGGACTTTTTCTAAAATAACATTAGATTCCCCACCCCATATTTTATCTGTACGATTCAAGTTATGCCCAAAAATTAAATTTTGTAAAATTTAGTGAGAAACTTACCGGAGAAATTAAAAAAATATCTTCATAAGAATAATTCGATTGACAAAATTCTTAATTTATTGTAACTTATTTTCCTTTGAGTTTTTCCTGTGCACGAGTGGGAAAACAGTGCATTGTTCATTCAAATAATTTTTAACAAAGTGCGTAAATCACATTTGGAGTTATTAATCGCTTACAGCAAATATGCCAAATTTCAAAACTCTACAGCAAATATGCCAATATATAAATTCACGTATATCTTTGGAAATATTTAATTAAAAAATATCTAATTTTTTGCTGGTATGCTTAGAAATTTGTATACTTTAAGGTGATTTTTAAAATGTTATAGGCTACATCTGAAAGGTTTTTCGAAAAATTTGTAAAAATTACTTTAGTAATACAAATTTAAAAAAAAAACTAAAAAAAAAAAAAAAATCTGAAATGTTTCAGATTTTAAATTACGTCCAAAGGGGCGTTTTTTAACATTTTGTGTGTTACCATTCTTTATTAAATATCATATTCCTCGCACTTAAACCATAAGATCCAGTGCAACAGCAATATCGCAAAATAGTTTTAAAACGAGCATATCTTTAGAATTTCCGATACAGAGACTCACGCGCTGGAGATAAAAATGTTTTTTCTGCACAACGTTGCCATTGCTCGCTTTGAAATCCTTGAGTTTGTTAATCAAAAATTCGTCAAAGTTTTAAAAAATAGGAAATCGATCATAAAACAAATTTCAAATTTCAAATTTGGTCTTCCACATGCTCATATTCGTTGGAGGATTACGTTATTCAAAATTCGATGACTCTATGTACCGTTGTTTTATCACAATACGAGAAATATACATACAATTATGCAGATTTTTCATTATTTAATTTCTTCAAATATAATGCAGGACTCTAACATTTTGTGGCAACAGTTTGAAAAGTGAACCGACATTTATGAGTCCGACGCAAAATGCCAAAACGAAACTAATAGTCCTTCGGGATTCAAATCCCTTTGGACTAATAAATAAAAATAATAGCTGCGAATTATTTGGATTGAACTTGAATTTTGAACTGTGAAAGAAGGAATCAAGTAAGTTTAATAAAAATAGAGATAATAAATATATTCCAAATTTAATTAATACCGAATTTTTTTTATATCTTAATAATTATTAATTTACCAAAATTTGCTAACCTATATGCATATTAAGAATTTCCCTACATTATGTAAACTCCTTTCTGCATTTCCTACATTATGTAAACTACTTTCTGCATTTCCTACATTATGTAAACTACACTAGTTATTTAGTAATTTGAAAATGTAAAAAACGCTAGGACAAGTATGCAAGTAACCAATAATAAATTGAACATATCCAAACATGTAAATAAAACGTTAACAAAAAGAAAATACTCTATGCTACAAAAATATTACAATAATATTCAATTTAACGAATATTGTCTTATGTAAATTAATAAAATAGGCCAGATTTTTTTAAAAATTTCGTTTAACTTGCTTCAATACAACAAACATAACATACTAACGGGTTTTTTTTCTTTTTTTTCCTGAAGTGTTTTGTTGCATTCGTTAGATTTAAGACCGGCTGTGAAATTAGTAAGTAGGGGAAACTGGTAGTGAGCTATGGAATGACTAGATAGTGCTACTAGTAGCTTTTAATTTGACAGCAAGTGAAAATATTTTTAAAAATCTCTGGCAAAAGTCATAAAGCAGAAATCAGATAGTAAAAAAGAAAAGATAAAATTCTTCACGCAAATTGAGTTGTAAATGCGACTTAGGAAATGATTTGGTTTTTGTTAGTAAAAGCGAGAAATAGAAAGTAATTTAGAGAATATTTTACATTCATACATTTGTAAAAATCTTCCAGTCTAAGCTATCCAACTTTACCCTCTTTTTAAAGGTTTCGGATAATACCTTTATATCACCTAAACTAAAAGATTATATTTTAAAATTAATGAGTCTTTTTGAGATAAAAATTGACAAAATTTTAAGTATCCATTAGGGTGTTAATCAGCATAGAAATTTAACTTTTAATATGTTTAATTTCTGTACATATATTCCTAATATTTTTAAAGTTAAAAAAAAGAAAAAAAAAAGGTATTTTATATTATTTCTAACAAGAAATGTATTTCCTATTACTTCTAACAAGAAAGGTATTTCCTATTACCTTTTTAGAAATACTAGAGTTCAGATTGATTAACTTAATAGATTTGAATTTAAATTCTCTTCTTCTTCTTTCAAAAATGTTAATAGTGCGATGATTAATTACTTAAGTGAAGATAGTCATACTTAACCTTACTAAGACCGATTAACATATAATCGACTATTCAGTTTCTCACTTCCATTTATGAATTTTTCATATTCATTTTCTTATTTTCATTTTCCAATAAATTTTATTTCCTTTATAAAACATTTATTAATTATTCTTTAAAAACTTTAAATTTATTTCTGAACATTTTGGTTGGTTCTTAAATTGGATATTTGACTAGAATTAATGTTAACTTCATACTGAAATTGAGTTTTGGGCTTAATTTGCACTTTTAATAGAAGTTATCTTCATTTTATTAATTTGATTATTAAATCTTTGCAGCCAAGGCGCAAGATTCTAAAATAGTCCTACTTTCCGTTTTGTTTATGTTGGCGAACGATTCTAAAATAGTCCTACTTTCCATTTTGTTTATGTTAGAACAATGGTATATATAAATCTAAAATAAATCGCGCTTTCGAGTCATGAAAAAGTTAAATATTCTCAATCGGCCTTGTAAAACGGAATATATAGAACTGTCCCATTTTTTCTTTATTGTAAATAACTGAGTAAGTAATTAATCAAACTGAAACAGTTACTAAAGAAAGATCAGTTCATCATTTTTTTAATCATGATGCAAGATGAAAATAAAATTAAAAAAAAAAAAAAAAAAACTTTAGCGATTCCTCCCACTTCTTGCACTGCCTAAGTTCCTTGGATTCACGGTGGAATGAATTAGTTCCTTTTATTTTATTCGAGCTCGCAGACTGAGTATCAAAAGCTGGAGTGAATTAAATGGCTGTTTCAAAATGAGTTGTTTAACATTTATTTCTCAAGAAAACGTCTAGACAACATGATCTTTGAATTTACAGTGTAGTTGTTAAGGACTATCTTTTTCTTTCGGAGAGGGGGGCGAAGGAGTGTATAGTGTATGCTAAATAATTCCATTGTATTTTTTTTTTCTCTCGCTATATTAAGACTGCATGTTTAGATTTCTCAGCTTTTTAATAATTAACATGTATGATGAAAGACACTTTTTTTCCTTTCAAAATATACAAAACTAATAAAAAGAATAAATTAATAAAACAAGAAAAAATTCAAATGCAAGCCCTTATTTAGGCCCACCAGCGTCCCAGCGGTAAAAAACGCTGAATACTGGTAGTTCGGTCCGGAGTTCGAATCCCGGCGAACGAGGTGGCTGCATGGGTGTTTTCGTAGTTTTTCCCATATGTAACGTGGAAACGAGCCAGTTTCCCTTAAAAAGACCTCCACGGGGTATCCCTCCCTCTCCGTGTAGTGCCTAAGGGCAGAGCACGTAATAAGGAAAAAAAAAACCACTTATTTAATTTGAACTCAAATTATTTACTATAAGTAACTGCAGTATTTTTTACCGTATCGATCGAAATATCGAATGGTCTCATATGAAGGACTTCATTCTTCCTTGCCAAAATGTTTTATAAGTAAACAAGATCTTTCATGTTAAGCTGTCTTACTTAAATAAGACTGATACCTTATAGGTCTACGAGCAGATAGTTTTGTGTTCATAAATTCTTGTGGCAATACTTTTAAATATTAAGCTGCAGATATCGGACTGGCAAGATTTTAAACAGCATTTTAAAGAAAATGCATTTCTTAAGCATTGAAAATAAAATATAATATATCCGTTGCTTACAGGGACTATTCATTATTCTTTTTACTCTTTGTAAGGGCTCTGCTTAAGAAACTGCCATCGCACAGTTGTGTTATTCAGCATACAGTTGAATCAGTACTTTTTCCAAACTCTTAGAACAAACAACATGAGTAATAAAATGTACCCAATCTTCAAAGAGCCAAAGTGCGTTGAAAAGTCCAAGCGGTACGCCTAAGAATTATTTCGAAGTTAGCATAAATCAAACAATAGCATTCTTACAAGAGAAAGTTTCATATCAAAAAGATTTCTTTCAATATTTGTTTCAAGTTTTTCCCCTTTTCCGAAAGCCTATGGACCAAACCCAAATAATATCATTATCTTTTTAATATAGATGGCAGCACTAACACACTCTAGCTTTTGAACGTAATCATAGGCTGTATTACAAGATAATACAGTAGATTTCCAAATTAACCGAGGTAATATAACGGTCAACATCCACGGTTAACCCCAAATCACGTTTAATCCAACAGCATAAAAAAGTACGCAAAAAATATAAATAACCTTCATTGAAATTAACACAAATGTAATTTACAACTACAAGCCTTAGACGATCAGAACCAAATATGTTAGCACTGAAAATTTGGCATTTCGATTAAAATTTAGCGAAGTTTTTTCCTTTATTTATTTTGTTTCATCCATTTATTTATTTAAAATTTGTAGCGGATGAGAATTTTAGTTGTACAGAAGTAATAATGAGCAACGAAAGTGAATAACTAAAAGTGAACAACGGAAAATAAAATTATAATTTTTAGTAACTTAAATATAGTGATACGGTTTTAGTTTTTTTTTTTTTTTTTTTTTTTTTTTTTTTTTTTTTAACATATCATTTTATTTAAAGCATAATAAAATGAAAGCTTGCACTTCGATAACTTTACAACAAATCTGCTGATGCAGAATATTTTCTTTAAATAGGAGCTGGGAACATATGAAAAATCTGATAATTGACACATTTGATAATTCGGTATGTATAATCCCCATATGGATATAAGTCTATAAAGGTCTACAAGCTGGCCACCTGGCAATATTTGAAATAGATAGCGTGAAAACGACAAATGTTAGAAAAATTAAGTAACTCAATTACAATACATTGAACAGTGTAATACATTTAATCCCTAAATAAATTAAGAATAACGAGAAAAAATTTCAACTGATGCCATTTAATGTAACGTTGTCAGGGTGTTAGGTATCTGCGAAATTTCCAGAGCGTTACAATAATTATAACACTGGAGAAATCATCGAATTCTTTGTAATTTTGGAGGACCTAAACTCTGTTCAAGACATTTCATATATGTAATAGCTGCAGTGTAGATTCTAATACGGAAACCAGTTAGAATTAATAGATTATGCACATTCTGTCTCCTAATTATCTGGCATGTTAAATACATTTTCGAGTTATACATTTGTTTAGAAGTTTTTCAATCTCACAATACAAAACATAGCAGTAACAAAATAGCTTCTACCACATCACTCAGATAACGTCCGATATCCCATTTCATTTGACAGTCGAACATTGTCTATACGATAATGCAGGCCAAGCGTGGCGGATTATCGAAAAGGAATGTAATAAAATTGGAAGATATTTAAAATTCACTTATTCATAGAATTCTGTGGAAAATTTCGACTTATAATATGAAAAGAAGAAGGAGTCACTTTATTAAATGCATTATAAGTATATCCTGTTCTCGCAATTTTTATTGATATTTTCTCAGAAACAAAAACATGATCTATTATTCTTAGCGAGAATTTCTTCATTTTTCTTTGATTTGTTTTACTACATATCCTTTTAGCCAATGATGGCTATAATATGAATCCAGGTGCTGTTATATGAATTGAGATATCTAGAGGATTATTGCCAGTCGTTTTCTCTTATCGTATGCGGCACGTGATACATGAAAATAAAAAGTAATTTCCGGCAACAAGTTTCGATTTCCCTTTAGAAAAACCTCTTATGACTCAGCTTGAGTAATATCCTTCAAGGAGAAAATTATGTTAAAGAAATTGTATTACACCCCCACTTTTTTCCCTTTAAGAGATTTATTAGTTTTACTGGAAGATTTCAACAATAGAATCAAGTTTTCTTCCCTCCCCTTCTGCAATAGGAAATGCGTATTTCTGTTCACTTTCCCTATGATTAATTTTCGTTTTCATTCAAGTTGCGCTTTCATTCAAGAGGCTAAAATCATGTAAGTTAATTATTTTTCCTGGAAGAACTTTTATATACATACTGGTTAAAATGAAGAAGATAATTCTGAACTGAAGTTTGTAAGTATATAATTTTTTTTCCTTTTAAATTTATTACAAGTTCAGTAAATAGATTACTGTTATGAGCAATAGTGTTATGTTTATCATTGGCAATGTTTCATTTTAGCGGGTAAATATTGACTTAGATAACATTGATTCTGTGGGAAGAAAATTCATAATGAAATCTGTTTTTCGACACACATTTGGAACTTAGCATCTTTCCTCAAAATCGAGCTTGACACCCTTGAACTGGATTGTTTATTAAGGGGAGACTGCTTAGTGAATTGAATACAGCACCCAAGGGCTAGCTTTCCTTCAGAAAAATATCTCCTTAGAAGAATTCCTAATTGAAACTGTATCTCATTTACATTATAGTTGAGGAAATTTAAAAATTCTAAGCAGCTAACCCACCGAGTTATAACGAGCCCACAATGAAATACCAATATTCGGCGTTTTATCCACTTAATAGTCAGTTCAAAGTTTCATATAAAAGTTATGGAATTGTTAATAACTAAATAAATTGTTATGAGAGTATGATTGTTATGGAAATTGTTATGAGAGTAAAATTGTCATGAAAGTAAAATTGTTATGAGAGTCGATAATAGTACAATGTAATGTGTTCTTCCACCGAATGTTAGCTCTGAAATAAAATTCCAGGAAAATCACGAAATTAGAAGCACAGTAACAGTTAGGATACTTTAAAACTAATTTGCTAAAAATAAACGACCCATCAAAAGTTAACGAAGAAATAGTTTCATCTTCCTGAGAAAAGCCCTTACACAAATGAAGATTAGGATTTAAATTTTAATCGTAGAGCTTCCGAACTCCGATATTGTTCGTACGCATGAAAACTTGGATTTCGTAAAAGGCTTATCAGCTATTCGGTGCAGAAATAAATGCCTGCAATATTTTCTACGATGTTTTAAGTTAATTCTTAACTTGGTTGAAAAAGCCATAAATATTAACATAGCTAGCCGCTGCTGGACAGAAATAAGAATTTCACAAGGCAAAACATGTTGACTGTTAGTCACAGTGCAGTCAAAAGTTTATGGGATCAGATTGTTGGTGAATCTATAGTTTCGAAAAGAAACCTCTGAGTTAAACGTTTTCTTACTGCTTCCCAGCCTTTCCGGCGAAAGGAAGAAAGTCAACTGTATCTGTTTGGAAATGTATTATCTCAGATTGCATATAGTACCTGAGAATTTCAGATCCAAATTTTATTCATGCACTAGGCTTAGGAATACCCTGACCAAATGTGTCACATCCTTAATTAGAAAGGGATTTCATTTTTATATGATTTATTTTTATATTATAATATGTGTTTTAGTTGGGCGTTTCGGACTAAAACAGATATTCGAAAAATAGATTGTATGGAAGGCTGAAATTGCTGAGATTGCTAATAGGATTCGTGGAAATGACAGTAGGAGGCATACCGACAAAATATTATTTTCAATTAAAAAAATGTATTGAGTTCTGTGATTCTCTGCATCTCCATGGTAGGACGTGTACCAAATATGGAAATCTGAAAATGAGAACTGCTTCCAATTCTATGTTTTGTCACTGAGGTCTTTAACTCTAATTTCATGGTAAAGCTTTCCCAGCAATATTTCTGGCGGACATTTATATATAATCAAAACCATCAGAAAAAAAGTACATTTATTGTGCAATAAGGAGATAATTGAGAGGCAGGAATCTTAGTAACATAAAGTGCATTAAGTAGCATCAAGTTGGACAAACGTTTGAAGAGAAGCGCATTGGAAATTTCGACATTTTTCAGTTACAACTTTCAGGAGAAAGGCTATAAAGTGTTTTCTTCCTTCTTTCCGCATGCCTTCCTGGTACAATTGGAAGCATACCGGACGCGGATTCGAGAAGTTCAGGGTTCGATTACCGGCGAGTGCATTGCTCATTTTGCATTTCTTCTGCTTAAAAATAACGTAATGTCTCTACAACAGAAAACAAATATATGTATTTAATTGGATTTTTTCATAATATCTAGTAACATGTATCATTTCAATCTAGAAATTGGATATATCACCGATACTCTAACACAATACTGAATTTGTCGTTCAAGAATTCCTTTTCTTTTTCATTGTATCAGGTAACAAATTTTAATCTGGATTTTATGAAATTACACAAAGTACGACAATAAAGTTTGAAGAATGACGTCATAGGATACGAGAAGTGGATATTCTGTTTCTAGCTTAGTCAATCTGCAATAACATACTGAAACCATTTTAATAAGATGAAGCCGCATCTTCAAAGGACATTTACAGTGTTAGAGATGGTATTTCATTGAAGACGCGGCTCAAAGTGGTAGGTTTACGACCTTTCCAACTAATGTAAACATTGAAAATATTAAAAAGATGATAGACAGAAAGAGCATCATTGAATGCTAACCATGGGTAAAAGTATGTTCTGACTATTTTATGGCAAAGAATATATTATACATGGCCAGAAAATGCAAGCGATTTTCGATCTTCGTCATTAAAATGTTTATAGCCTGCAGAAGAGCTGTAACTACTGCCTGATCTTACTTCAACAGATTTCTTTCTGTTTCCGAATTCGAAACGAGCCTTAAAAATAGGAATAAATTTTTGGGTATTTCAGACGTTCAAAACTATGTTACGAGGATCCCCCATAACTTACAGAAAGAGGATTTTGCCCCCAATTTTCAGGAACCGTACGGTCGTTACCAAACACGGATTAGATACAACTGGTTTTACCTCGAAGGAATACAAAAAAGTTTTTCCCTGCTATAAGAAATACATTTTTGTTCATGAGCATTTACAGAATTTTACTGTTGCACCATATACGTAAACGTCTTGATACAATACAGGTTGAGGTCTATTAACATATGTTTTCGAATATTAATTTTTAATATCTTTGATAAAAGGTTTTACTTCTTTGTTCTTATAATATTTGAAGCCTGATTCATATATCTTCAAGAGAGAACTAATTTTTTATTGCTGATGATATGTGATCAAGTAAAATTCCCAGGGTTTTTTTATAAAGTTTTTTTCGAATTTAATTTATGACACCTTAGATACATATTTTTCTTTATATACTTTTTTATAGAATTACATATTAACTTATTTATTTCTATTTTATTTCAGATTTAGATAGTAATTTTATAATAAGACAGCTGTTAGTATGATTAAATTTGTTACTATGTTTTAAATTTTAACAGTTGTTCAAATTTATAAATGAAACAATATAAAAAAATATTTCTAGATTGTTTAATAAAATGAAGGATGCATACTTCTGTAAACGGTCAAGGAATAATCGCTCTTTTCAGGCTTCAGATCAAAATATAAAGCGAAATTCAAAACTAGTTTATAAGTAAATCTTTTTTTTATTTTTATTTTTTATACTCATACATATATATATATATTATACAGGATGTCTCGTAAATGTTGCGACAAACTTCTGGGGGAGATAGCGCACATCATAAGAATTAAGAATTGCATAGGAAACCCTGCCCAGAAACGTCATTGTACGCTGTCTGGCAGGGCGTGTTGTACAGGAGAGTGCTAGTGGAAAGTGAGTATTGCCTCATTCGAGGGGTAGGCACCATACAAAGAACATGGAACGCTATACGAACGTAGAGCTTGTAAACATGTGGTTCCGACATGATGGAACGTCTGCTCATTTTCGACTGGATGTTTGTAGCCATTTGAACAGATCATTCCCGCATCGATGGACTGGGCGTGGTTGACAGGTTCCATGGTCCTCACGCTCAGCGAATTTATTGAGCCTTGATTTCTTTTTGTGGGGAGTCATCATAAGTGTCGTGTATCACAATCCTGTTGTGTGTGAAATGGATCTCGTGGCAAAACTTGCCTACGCAGCTGGTACAATCAAAGAAACTCCCGGTGTGTTTGAACGTATCCGGCAATCAATGGTCCGTCGGTGTCAGGCATGTTTGGCGTTTGATGGTGCAAACTTCGAGCATCTGTTGTAACATTCAAGCTGCCGTACACCATTTGTATTCATGTCCAATAAATGCTTTAAATTAATCACTCTCTTGTTTCATTTCCCATCTTCTACCTCTGCTTATCCCCGACTTCTCCGGGCATGGGTTCCTATGCAATTCTTAATTCTCATGATGTGCCCTACATCCCCCAGAAGTTTGTCGCAACAGTTAAGGGACACCCTGCATATATATATATATATATATGTAAGAAGATACGTTTTTAGTTGAAAAAGGTTTTCACTCAAGGTAAGTTTCAACGGAAATGAGATTTGATGTTTTAATAAAATAAACTACATACCTTTCTATTTTTATCCTGAAGAATTAAATATATGTTTCTTTTATACAGGAATAATACTTATGGAAAGAAACCTTAATGTATTGCCAAACTAAACGATGTCCTGTTGTACAAGAAGAACTATGCATCCGGCTTCAGAAAGGAGTTTTATGCTTGTGATACCATATGTAAAAATGCATGGTACAGTTTCTTGAAAGTAACAGCCAAATAATTTTGGGAAAATTATGAATTATACAATATTTGATAACTATCCACCTAAGCTTTTAGACTTTGCTGTGACATTTTTTCTCCTGTTTGCCGTACTGGGAGTTACTGGCAACTGCATAACCATCGGAGCGCTATGCAAGTCTAAGAAACTGAGGAATGCCACCACAGCTTTCATTGTTAACCTTTGCGTATCAGATATATTACTAAGTGGATTTTCTATGCCAATGTCCGCAGTAACGTTTCTTGAAAGGGGGTGGAACTACGGTGAAACTCTATGCAAGATGTTTCCTCTTGTTCGTTATTCTAATGGAGCCGTTTCAGTCTTCACGATCATTGCCATTACCCTAAATAGGTATATTCTAATAGTACATCCAAGAATTTATAATCGTGTATACAGTACCCGTAACATGGCTATAATAATCATAATGATTTGGATTGCTTCACTTTTTTTATTGCTATTTCCTCTCATAGAAGTATGGGGAAAACTAGGATATGATCCTCGGGTAGGAACTTGCACTATCTTAATAGTGAATGGAAAGTCACCAAAAATAACCTTTTATGTTGCAGCCTTTTCTATACCATCTCTCGTTATTATTGTTTGCTACACAAGGATTTATCATGTCGTACATAAAGCATCTAAACACTCTAGAAATACTATTGAAATGAATACTGAATGCAGAAAATCAGAAAACAGAACAAGTCATATTATGCAGTATTACGATACATTAAAAAATCGTTTCGTTTTCTTCTACAATCAAGAGAAAAAGGAATTGAAAGTCCTGAAGATAATGCTTGTTTTATTCTTCACATTTATTGTGTGTTATTTACCTGTATCTTTTGTGAAAATTTTCAGGAAAGAAGACGCATTTCCTTATTTGAATGTTTTCGGGTATCTAGGCGTTTTCTTCTCAAGTATCATCAATCCTGTTATTTATGCAGCATTTAGTGAGGAATATAAGGCAGCTTACAAAGATCTTTTTTGTTACAGGAGAATTGACATTTAAAGTATACTGTATATTTTATCAGCTAGTTTCTATGAGGGAATAATGAATGGTAATATTGTATAAATTATAAGAAGAAAACTTAAAACAGTGCAACTATTTACGACAACAATATTTGTTAACAGTGCAGTTAGCTATCTACAGAGGTAATTTTAAAACTATATATTTTGACATTAATGTATTTGAATCATTTCCTTAGCATCTCAAGTGTAATTCCGTTTTTACTTCCCTTGAATGTATTATATATTATAATGCAATTATATATTCCTGATCTATAGAATCTGTGTAAAATTTTAAACTCAGCAAACTTTACACAATGACGTTGTAATGCGCATCATATAAGAAATACATTTAACAATATTTTGTACAATTCAATCATGAAATTTGACCACCAAGTTTCGAATTTTAACAAGATCCAAAGACAGAAATCTGGGTCCAAAATTTTAATTCCTAAAAGCTATAATACTGAAACTCATCCAACTCTGAAGTAAGATCCTTTCACAACAGTGCACTACTGCAGCAGCTACTTTAGAGGTCCTTCAGATACTTATAATATCAATTCCCGAGATACTCTTCAGATTAACTAGTATTGCGTTTTTAAACTATTTCATGTTGAAATTAATTACAATTAAAATAAGGTTTTATAGAGTAAGCTTTTATTTAAAATGGATATGATAATTAAAGTACTAAAATAGAAAAGTGATTTATAGTACAGTTTAATGGGAAAAATAGATTAAATCATTCCATTTGCAGAATTTATCTACAAATTTATATCGCAAATAATATAAGCGTGAGGTACCATATTAAATTTTAAAAAATTGACAGGAGACTGTCTGTTCCATTTGTTGCAAATGGCCGCTGAGTTTAGATGCGTAGGACTAGTTTCTAATATTTTTAAATTTTGTGTACACAACTGATGAGTTTTCTTCACTAGACAGACACCGTTGAAGAATATCTACATTATAATAATTTAAAGGTGTACTCAAATTTGACAATTTATTATTGGCAGCAGTAGAAGAAGTTGTAGCACCTTGATTCACGTATAAGGTATTTCCTCCCCCCTTCTTGGCATGCCTTCGTGGTGTGGTGGTCTGCACGCTGGGCGCTTATTCCAGAAGCCCGTGGTTCGATTCCCGGCGAAGGCGTTGCATATCTTGCCTGGTTTCAAGAAATACCTAATACCTAATTTTGGTAAGTACTTATGCACTCTAAAACCAAAGCCATAGAGATAACTCATGTATGGACCGTGTACTGTAAGAAAATGTATCAGTTCTGGTACTCCGCTATTCAACTTCGTACTTATTTTTGGTAAGTACTTATGCACTCTGTGTCCAGTGTTGATCTCATTCTAAATTACGTTGTTATTGTGTCATTGTATATTTTAGTATTTGCCTTTATATGAGAGCATGGAAGCTTTATTTCTCTTATAGCTGTTGCTCTTTCGTTGCAGATTATTATCTGTATGAACTCATTAGATTTTCGGTTTAGTGTATTCTGGAACTGAAAGCAAAATTTTTTGAATGCCTTTTACAATTGCATTTTTGTAGAGCTTTATTTGAATAGCCATCGAACTTGAGGGTGAATGAATGTAAATTGCTGCAGTCTAATCTAATTTGATACTGTGCTGTATTGCAGCTCTCAGGGCAAAAGTATCGGCTTGGAAAATAAGTTTCAGCGGCTCAGTTTCCACGCTTAAGTATGAACCGTGATGTTTTCATGCAGCTCACAGTATCCACTATCCGCGCTGTGCTTTTAGGCAGTGCTATAGCGTTTATCAAATCCTAATTTAGCATTCAAAAAACGCAAAAGAATAAGCGTTAAAGAAATTAGTTACGCGGAAAGAAAGTTACGTTAAAAAAAACGGCTAAACGGGTATTTGCAAGATCTAATTTCGGATGTTAAACTGAAACTTTCTCTTTAATTAGAATCTTCTCAACTGTTTTGTAGTTTTATTTCCCGCAATTGAAGAAAACGGTTCATTTTTTCGAGACACTAGCAATACTGTACCTGAAACTTTGCTCATGTTATACCGATTTATGCTGCTTATGATTAGTTTCTTTACACCATTTTCAGTATTCTTCAACATGTGGTCATAGGTTTGGCCTGTAACTGAGTAAAACGACCGAGGAATTGCTTCATCACGCCTTCGCTGGATTTACATTTGCAATATTACCACAAGTGATAGATAACGGCAAGCACGAACATCTATTACATACACTGCGGAAAAAAAGAGGGGATAGTTTTGTAGCTCAAGTTCTACTAAGTCGATTGACGAAGCTCAACTTGTGTTTTTCATGTCTCGAAAGCGCAACTCAGAATATGTATTAGAATTATATACAGCATTGTTCTGATATAGGTATTTTGACACAAAATCGGACTTTTTCTGAAATGAAAGGGGAATTGTTTTCTATGTTTCGTTTCTACGACTCAAATTATGCCAAACTCCCAAGTTTTATAAAATTCGCATTAGTAGTTTTTAAAAAATTATCTCTCAAAATTTTAGCCCCTCAATGTTAATTGAATTTGATCTATATTTATTAAAGTCACGTTTTTGTTAAATTTATTTGATTCCTTCTTCCAGAATTCGAAATTTAGGCTTAATCCAAATATAATTCACACTTTTTTATGATTTATTTTTAAAATTTGTATTTTTAATATTTTTAAAAGCATTTTTGTATTATAGCCTGTAAAATTTTTAACATTATCTTAAAGTGGATGTATTTCTAAGCATACCTCTGTCCTCTTAAGCATACCTGCAAAAAATTAGAGTATTTTACTCAAAATTTCAAAAGATATACATGAATTTTTATATATTAGCACGTTTTGAAATTTGGCATATTTGTTGAAAGCGATATTAACATGAAACGTGGTTTACGCACTTTGTTAAAACTATTTGAAAGTAGGAACGATGTTACTTTTTTTCTTCTCATTCACAATGCAAAAAGGGAAAGGAAAATAAGTTGCCGTGAATTAAGACGTTCGCCAAGTGAATTATTCTTGGCGCAAACTCAAAAAAATTCGTCAAGATAAATTTTTTAATTTCTCTGTAAATGTCGCACCAAAGTTTACGAAATTTAATATTTAGGCGTAATTTGAGTCATAGAATCGAAATATAGAAAACAAAATTGGCATATCATTTGAGAAAAAAGTCCGATTTTGTGCTAAAATACCTATATTAGAAAATTGCTATATATAAATCTAATATATATCTTAAGTCACACTTTCGAGACATGAAAAACGCAATTTGAATTTCGTCAATCGGCCCAGTAGAACAGGAAATATAGAACTGGCCTTTTTTTTTTCGCAGTGTAACTTGTTAAAATTAAAGCAGTTTGAAAATATTTTTTTATGATTTTATCATTCCCCGTAAATCATCGTCGTCTTCGATATCTCTGCCCGTTTGGAAACGCCGGTGGAAATTCGAAAACGTTCAAAAAGATAGAACAACAAAAAGTAGCCGGTTGAACATTCATAGGTAACTTATACGGTTAAACTCTCTTGCAATCACAATCTAAATCTGAAATGTTATCGTCATAAAAGTCTGCTTCAGTATTTTCCATATTTCTATCATACATTTACGGAAAAAAATAAACAATTCATTACTCAAACGGGGCTCAATATCTTCCCTTTTCGGACATTTGAAAATAACAGGATATTTGTCTTGAGTACCTACATGTATCAGAACTTATGATATAAGCGGACAAATTAACTCTTAGCATTGTGTGTTCAGGCCGTTTCTGAGTCGAAGATGTATAGTGGATCATTTGCATAGGAATTTTCTCTTATGCATTTCGCTTCCAAATTTTGGGATACTGCTATGTATGCATATGAGTAATGATTCAAGTACAGTTGCTGTTATACAAATAATTAAATAAAATTAATATTAAAAAATTTTAATTTTAGAAGAGTGTGAAATTATTATTAAAAAATTGCTATTTCATTCTGTCTCACAAATGAATATGCTTATTATGACTCCTACTCTTGATAAATTTCCTACTGATTTGCAGCTTATTAATAAGATTTGGTAGTTTCATTTATTATTGTTTTCCGTTCGTTACTTTTATGTCTGAGAATGGACGAGATAGGGAATCCATTAAAACAGATTAAAAATTTTTTTCGGGATATTAAGAAGCTTTTGATCAGCATATATAGATGAGAGACTTTTGGTAAGCTCCCTGGAACGTCTTCCTAAATTAGAAGAAAGCAGTAACTGAAAGACTAATTCAGTTATGATTAATTCATATCTATCTGCAATAAAGTTTGCTGCCATAGCAAAAGTGCTATTTTCGAAGTAGGTCACTAAATTTTGTTTGAGAGGAAGTTTGCTCGCCTTTGTCGCCCCCCATGATATCATCGATATTAATTCTATGCGTCAGAAAATGTCAAATGTGGGAGAAATGTGTTTATTTCTGAACTCTTCTCGTGCAGTTTTGGCGCTACTAATTAAACTTGTTATATTAAAATATACAGAAATATTACTAGCGTTTGAGAAAGGGGATTGTCTCCAAAATTAAAAATGAGATAGGAGTTTTAAAATATTAGAATTTCATGATTTAATCTTAAACACTTATATAGTAACATTTCAATTCTATTAACGTTAAATAAGTTTTTCCAGATTAATGCTTTTTCATTACTGACCTTTAATCTAAACCGTAAAACATAGCTAATGTCTCCCATTGCTCCGTAACTTCGTTTGCTATTTCCTGTTGTTTTTTTATCGGGTATTTGATAGAGATTTCGAAAATGATAAGCAATGTAACTCAGTGGTCATAGTTCACTTAATGTGAAAATGAAATAACAAAATACAGCAAACGGATATCAATTTATCAGAGTTCATTTGAGCACTGTAACATGACTCAGAATCATTCTATTGTGCTCAGAATATATTGTGCTCAGAATCAGTTCTATAAACATTTCGTTATTTCCTTGGAAAAAAAGAAAAGCTGGCAGATAAAAACATTTGGAAGAAATCTGAAATCAATTATTTGATGCATGGGCACTAGTTATCAAATTTACTCAAATTAAAATTTGTAGTTGCGGTGAAATTAAATTTACTATTTACAGTCAAAATAGTTACTCCATAAGTTCGGAATGAAACACAAGACAACGAATATGAAATCCTGTATCGAGTATTTAACATGTCTACTCAGTACATGTTTTCATTTACACATAAATGTCCTGGTAAAATGGTATTGTAGTAAAATAAATAAAAAAAAAGGTTATTTTTCAAGTTAATGGACGTAGCAATCTGAAATCATGATACAGAGGGAAAGGGCAACTGGCATAGAAATAAAATGATTGTCAAGCCTCTTATGTCGTAATATCCTACCAGGATTGACAATCGCAAAATGAAAATCCTAAAGATGAATCAGTTATGCAGGTGATATGAGATATACTACATTTAAATATTGAAATCAAATTTAATTTAAATTTTATTCTACATGCAGTTTAGCTAAGTGCGCACAAAACAGCTAATTTTATTATGTTGCTTATTTTCCATAGTTTGTAAGCTTTATAATTTAAATTTATTAATCATAGATGTATTTTAAATTAATTTTTCTTTTGTTGAATATTTTAATAAATATTATTTTGCATAAAATATACATTTCATGCTTATATTAACTCCATATTAATTTACAAGTGTTGCTGTGCGTTATGTTTCTACATATTTATGAGATGTATTGAAAATGTAAATACTGATTTTCAGCACAGGTGTTTATTACATTTTATTTTCCTAACTATAATTATATAAGCCGTATTTCATTCAAAATATTACAATTTTAAGCATAAATTGTTTATTTGAATTGCATACATGATTTTAAATACTCCATATTAACTATTATATAGGTTTTCCATAGACTTCGTTCAGACTAAGACTTTTCAATTATAGCAGGCTTTGTAGAGACATGAAAGGCCATTAAATCCATTCACACCTGTTTAAAAGGGTTTAAGCCGCTGTCAATCAGGTAGGGTAAAATTCCGCGTGCGTCAATGTTGAGGTGACTCAATGAAACCTCGATAAAGGTCATTTGCTTCACTCTGATAGGGACATTCGTATACCAAATAACAAGTTAACATAAAGGTGCCTAACAAGGTGTGGTTGTTTAGCAACAAAGCTTGGCTCTTATTCCTTATGACCGATAAACCATCGGGTGACACAGAGCCTTATAAACATATTGCAGGAAATATGTCAAAGTAAACACCAAATTTAATGACAAACAGAAGCAGTACGTTATACAATTTGAAAAATTAAGATATCATTTTAGCTTAAAATATCACATGATGTCTATTTCCGTTTAATTATTCACGGGTTAATTCATGGCAACAGATAATTCTGCATGCCACTGCTTAGGAATGCAAAGACGCGAGTTATCGTCCTAAGGAACAAAATTAAATTAAATGGGGTATCTCGTTTAAGTTGTTAAAAATTTGGCATAGAACTATTACAGAAAGTGTAATCATATACGAAGCCTTAATCTGCGTTGTCTAACTTACTTCTCCTATGAGATAATTCCTGTTTTCAATTCAAAGGCAGCAGCTACTTGAAATTTTCGGGGCCTATCACACCACCTCAACACTAGTTCTTCAACAACTGGATGAAATTCCTTCCTTGGACTGGATTGTTGAAAGGGAGGCAACTATCGCAAGGTGACCAGGTTGGGCCAAAAGTCAACCCTTTCGGATCATACTGATCACTACCTGGATTATGTGACTATGTGGAGCAACACTGAAAATCATTTCATTGTACTACTTGCATATCTGACAGCATCATCAGAAACGACGAACCATTTTAAAGTAGCAATAGTGATCTTTCACGGATAGCTCAAAAATAGGAAAGCAGTAAAAGCAGCGCCTTCTGTAAACTGGAAAATGGTGCATTATTCTTTGAGTGGAAAAGAAACTTAAGTTTTAACAACTTGCTATACCAAGTACAGCTGCAAGCTATCAGGGCTGCAAATAAGTATACTAGCACATTTTAGCACCAGAAATTCGCCATATTCAGTGACCTTTCTTATTCAGATTACACAAATAAAAGCTGTATTCCATATTAGTAAGTACACTTCTTTGCAGAGTAATTAATGCAAAATATATGAAATTTGTTCTAAACGATATTAAAATAATTAAATATGGTACTTTTTCTATATTATACGTAACTACACAGTAGTAACTCTACTTATCATAAAATATAAAAATTGACCAAATGTTTACAAATTCCGTTCTTTACGTTCTTGGCGTTTTATCTTCGCAATTTAATTCTTGTAAGAAATGTAATAAGCTAAATTAAAAACTAGCTAACAAAAATTATAATTCTGTACACACATATATATATATTACTAAACGTTTATATCAAAATACAGAGGGTCACACATTTCTGTAACGATTTTGCAAAGATTTATATAGAAACAAGCCTTAAAATGTTATTTTCTAATATAATCAATCTGATAGCCTTTTTATTTCTCTATCATATTACATCTTGATTTATAAGATATAAGTCCTTTTCTTAAAACATCAAGGTTGATTTTATTC